TGAGAAGATGGTCAGCATCGTTAATCACCAGGGAAATGCAAATCAGAACCACAATTCCGTGCCTGTCATGCCCATTAGTATGAGTAGTTGTGGTTTTTTTAAAGTAGAAATAAAGAGCAATTTGTTTGTTTTAGGATGTAGAGAAATTGGGAACCCCGTGCATTGCTTATGATAGAGCCCCTGTGGAACACAGTTTGGCAGTTTCTCAAAGAATTAAGAGAGGATTACCTGTGGCATCCAGCAGTTTCGCTCCTGGATAAAGGCAGAGACACCACTGTTGGTAGCAATTATTGACAACAGATACTAGATAGAAACAATCCCAGCGTCCATCGCCATCGGATATGAGAAGATGAACAGTGTGATACTGTGTATGTGCAGCCTTAGCCACCATAAAAGAAATGGAGCTCTGATACCATGCCACAGCATGGATGAGCCTTGAGGAACAAGGCAGCAACACAAGGATAAATATGGGTATGACTGCGTGTAGATGCCACGACTCGAGTGGGTAAATTCCTGTAGAGACAGAATAGTGGGTACAGGAGCTGGCGGGGAGTGTGAGTGAGGAGTTAACCACGTAGTGGGCAGTGTGTGGGAAGATGGACAGGTTCTGGAGATGTATGGTGGTGGTCAGTGCACAAGACTGACATGTACTTAACGTCCCTGCATTGTACACTTAGAGTGGACCATTTTGTCTGGTATGTTGTACCAGCGTAAAAGCATTGCAAGGATAAGATTGCCAATACATAATGAAAACTAAGGGTAAAACGTGAGCTGCTGTTCTGCCTCATGGTTAGTGACAGTTACTGTTTGGATGTGGAGAAACAGTTGGTGGGAACGTGCAAGGTGGTAATGTTCATGTGGAAGTCAGTTTTTCAAAATCTGTCAAAGGTTTAAAAATGCACTAATGTTTTGTCTGTATAGTGCGATTATTTTTTTTAGCTTAATGTGAGATGAGTTGAAAAAGTTAATATCTTTGTTGTAAAGCAAATTTATGTACATTTATAAATACATGGAAAAGGTTCTGAAAGGATACATGCCTAAAGATACTCATTATGTGTATGTAAAGTAACTTGAAATGCAAATCATAGGAAGACGCAGAGCAGAGACTGGGCCTGGCTGCCTTGTTTTCTCTGCTATGCTTACTGTGTCGTTTGCTTTCCTTCAAAACGTGTTCCACGTCTCCTGTGGTGCACCACCCACTGCAGAGGGTAGAAAGCAGGGTGTTTGAGCTTTAGTGTCCTGTTCACAGGACCGTCAAAACCCTAGGAAGTTAATGATAAAAGTGCTGTTTTTATCAATATCTTTTTAGATTGTATTGTGTATCACAAAGAAAAATAGCTCACAAACTTTGGTTTATGTTCTTTGGGGTATTTTAAAAGGATCCTTAGAATAGTTGCGATGCTATTCTAGGTTCAGTCTTTAATACGTTGTAGTAACAAGTACTTTTGCAGTTCCCTCCCCCTCTGGCAGTAACTGGAAATACACATCAGTTCATAATTACAAGCATAAAAGGAGGGAAAGCAGTTTTACCTATTCAAAAGGGATATACAGTGGATAACACAGTTGTGTGTGTTGCAGAATTGGTTAGAGGCCTAAAGTCATAGAGATGTCAACTGGAAAAGTAAGTTTAAAATGTCTTCAAAAGAGATTAAGAAATGGAGCATGCATAGATAGGTACCCATGCCTGTGTAGCAGAACCAGGCATCCAGTCAACGAATCTATGTTGGTGTCATTCTGGTGCCAGTTCCAATTCTTGCACTAGGGCTGACCAAGGCAAATAAAGCAAGATTCCATTCCTGCAGGAGCTATGGTGAAGTAGAAGGGAGGGAAAATTACTGTTACACGGTAAAAAGGTGCTGGGCAGTGTGGTGGATCTGAGGGCTCTCTGAGCACAGGGGAGTGCTACCCAACCAGCACCTTCAATATGAAACTTGGACTCGCATTGCTACATTTGTGTTACATTCAGGTACATGTGTACTTTGAAACATCTGATAGAACAAACTTTGAATAAGCTGCAGCTCTCTGAAGGAGTGTTTATGTGGTGTGTCCTGTGGGAGGCCTGGAGGCTGTGACAAATGGGGAGCATGGCATTCTGAGACCCTGTCTGAACAGTCGTGGCTCTCTCTGGTTTTGTTCTTACTCCACTCTGTACTCCGCCTTGCCTTGTGCCGTCTTTTACAATTTTTTTGGAGGTTTACTCTGTTTCTTCAGAGTCTCACGTTGAACTTCTCACAGATCCCTAGGTTCATCAGATAGAGGCAAGGGCCTTAACCTTCCGAGGTGATCCTGTTCCTGTTTATTGAGAACTTACATGTAAAACCAAACCTTTTAGCAGAGAACTACCGACTTCCAGAGATGTCCTTTCCCCAATGCTCACCCATGTCTGAAGAAGACTCCTCTGATTTCCACACTGATTTTCTCATTTGTAATTTCTCACAAAATTGAAAAAGTCAGTCGTCAGGATAAATAACCCTGTTGTAATTGGAAATTAGGGGTGTTGAAGTTTTTGTTACTTTTGTTCCTTTGAAGTGATGCATATTGGCTTTCTGATTTGGAGTGTTTCCTTTGCTTGACATGAGGGGCCAACTGAAAATTTTTTAAGGGATAGGGGCCCTTTTATCTACTGAGGACCATTTGGATATTTCTAGTATCATGCGCAGATCAAACAGAATTATCAGCTAAAAAACTGGCCTGCTATGGATTTAATTTTGTGGGCCAGGGGCTGGACGGTCCTGTGTAACTTTGCAAGTCTGTGAAAAGATTGGACAGCACTCAGGCAAAATTGAAAACACCTTGCATCTCCTTCTACCTTCTTTTCTCTGTTAAAAAGAAGAAAATCTGTGAGGTGACAGAGTGAGGATAGTTTCAGAGGACTGTAAGTACTAATTTAACTGTTTGTGCAGTAAGTAAAAACACAGAACTGAACTTCATTGTGAACGTTAATCAACATGTCCATAAGCTGTGTGTGGAAGAACCTTGAAGGGATATCATCTGGAGAAATGTGCTGATACAGCATGCATGTTTTATCATTTCATTTGGGTTTATTGATATTTGTCTATCAATTCAGACCAGCAAAAGCCAAGCACAAAGTCTGCTGGATCTAGGACCAGGCTTTAAGATGCATGCCTTAGAAGAGAAGAGTGTCTTAGCCCTACCCAGTGGAGCATGGGTAGCACCAGTCTTTGAAATGCATGGAAATTAGCTCTGAGATGTGTCATTTGTAGAGAGCTGTTGTCCCTAATTCTGATGACCATTGTAATAGTGTTGTACAAAGACTGATGGGGAGCCCCTTTTCCGTAAGCTTGCTAGTAATTTGGCGCCTGTCCAGGAATGTGAAGGATGGTGAATGTTTAGTTCTGAGAGTTGAAAAGGAAGATTTAAAGTTACTGCTCAACTGTGATACTCCTGAAACCTGCATGACTTCATAACAAGTCTAAAGGTCATATGTTGTATGTGCTATTTTAACTGTCTACAAAAAAAAAGCTTTGACAAGTGTCCTTCTTTGGTCTTCAGACCAGCCTCGTCAGAGTGTGGAGTGTGTGTTGCTGCCTGAGGGTCTGTGTTCTTGCATTAGAGCCCCGCTGTGTTGACAATTTCGTGGCATGAAGATGGCATTTTGTGCTCTTTGTCTTGTCTGGGCATCCATGTGCTTCCGGTGTTGTGCTGAAATAAAGCAGGTGTGGTGCTCTTTCTTACAACCTGCCTTACATCTCTGAGTTCTTCTGAGGGTGTACACCTAAGACAGAGAGTGGATCCTGAAAGGGTGTTTATGGACAGCTTTTCTAGAAATGCCAAGTGGCTCTCTGATGCGGGTGTTCTCCATTAGAAATGTGAAGTAAGCCTTGCTTTGCTTCTTGCCAACAGTTGGCATTGTTAAGCTTTACATTTTTGCTACTGTGGTGAGATAAATGAGTATCTTCCTCTTATGTTTTTGTGTTCATTAATGAAGTTGAGCATCTTTTTTTTTGCATTTCTTAGCCATTCAAGTGTTTGCTAAAATCTTTTTGTCTTGTTTTAAAAACGCTTTCCTATTGAATAGTCTTGATTTATAGAAGTTTTTAAAAATACTATGACTGCTAATACTTTGGATGTAATTGTTAAGCTTTTTGAAACTATAAAAACCTTCCTTGTAGTTTTAAAAATCTTTTAAAGACTTAAATAAAAAGTTGAGTCCACCTTAAATTGATTTTATCTGACAACTTGTCTTGCTTATTGTGTTCTTCAGCCACCGCAGGAATCTTTAGAGCATTTATAATTTACATTACCAGCTTGTCATATGTTTCAGAAGCACTGTTAGGGCTTTGGTTGTTGTTGCATCCAGACTCCATAAAGAACGAGTTTGAAATAGAAACTTCCAAATATTCATGATTTTCCATTTTCCATGCGTGTTTTATGTTTTTTTAATTTCTAAATACTAAATGTTTTACTAGTAGAAGAGTTCATTTTAGTGCTGATAATCTATAAATGACACAAACAGATAAATCATGGCCTCGTGTAATATTACAGCAGGGAACTTTGTAGTTCTGAAACTCGGCTAATACAGATCTCTAGTACGTGACATCCTCAGTCTGTATGGGAGGTGACTGCTGTGATGTCTGTCCTGACTTGTAGAGTAAGGCCATTGTCTTACATAGGTAGATTGCTGCCATGGTCATAACATTTTTTTCCACCTTATTTTACTAAGTATCTAAATCTAGTCACGTAGAATTGTTCCTTTATCATCATGGAAGCTGTTTCAATATGCGGTTAAAATAACTGTTCACGACGGCATTCCCAGTAGGCAGAGCTCAGCGCTTCGTATGTCACACATAGGAATGCGGTATCAGGTTTTGTGACTTGCATTTATGTCACCTGGTCAGGTACTTACTGAGCACTTTGTGCACTCCATTGTACGGACTAAATGGAATTAGACGTTTCAGATGCCAGTTCTCATACGTATGCTTGTTCTGCTTTGCCAAATTCAGGTAACTTTTTTCAGCCATATTGTCTTATTTATTTAGAATCTGCACCAGGAGATAAGGCAGTATCACATTCTTGCACAACTCCTTCCACGTCTTCTGCCTCTGGACTGAATCCCACGTCTGCACCTCCGACATCCGCTTCAGCAGTCCCCGTTTCTCCTGTTCTGCAGTCATCAGTACCTCCATTACTTCAGGACCCAAATCTTCTTAGACAGTTGCTTCCTGCTTTGCAAGCTACACTGCAGCTTAATAATTCTAATGTGGACATTTCCAAAATAAATGAAGGTAAATTTTCATAGTAACAATGGTTATCATGTTTTTTTTTTCCCCAAAAAGATTTGAGAGACAGACCAACAGTGAGCTCCCATCCAGCTGTTTCACTCACCAAATGACCTGCCATGACTGTTGGCAAGGCAGGAATAAGAGCCAGGAATGAAGTCCAGGTCTCCCATGTAGGCAACAAGGACCCAAGTACTTGAGCTGTCTCCTGCTGCCTTCCAGTGTGTGCATTAGCAGGAAGCTGGAATTTGGAACAGAGCTGAGAATCAAAACCCAGGCATTCTTAACTGCTAGACTAAAAGCCTGCCCCCATAGTAAAAAGGCATTTAAAATGTATTTATGGGGGCCAGCACTGTGGCTCACTTGGTTAGTCCTCCACCTGCAGTGCCGGCATCCCATATGGGCACCGGGTTCTAGTCCCGGTTGCTCCTCTTCCAGTCCAGCTCTCTACTGTGGCCCAGGAAGGCAGTGGAGGATGGCCCAAGTGCTTGGGCCCCTGCACCCACATGGGAGACCAGAAAGAAACACTTGGCTCCTGGTTTCGGATCAGCATAGCTCTGGCCGTAGCAGCCATTTGGGGAGTGAACCAATGGAAGGAAGACCTTTCTCTGTCTGTCTCACTATCTAACTCTGTCAAATTAAAAAAAAAAATTGTAAAATGTATTTGTGTTGTATAAAATTAGTAAATCTCTGCTTTAGTACTAGTCTTTTTTCCCTTATATTTGAACTTCTCAGAATTTAGAATTTATGTTCCACATAGTTTAAAGCCATGGCATATAATTGGGTTACATTTGTGTATATTTTTCAAGACTTGCTATGTATCTGGTAGTTACTAGAGATGAATCACTTCTGTAAGTGCTAAGTACTAGGAAATGAGGAGTTCAGGTAGTTACATAAAATACTTGAAACATTTTCTGAGAAAGGATAGGTACTGGATAAAATTTTGCCATTTTTCCTGATTAATTACAATGTTTAATTCTGGCCTCTTAAGTATCAGAAGTACATGGTTTCCTAAGTACCATTTTTTTTCTGTTCACTCTTAATTAAAAGGTTGTTGGAATGGGTATAGCTGAAGGGTTTGAGTGGCTACTTTTCTAAAAATAAAAAAAAATCGTATGAAATAACAGCCATTAATCTGGTTAATCTTATATACTGCCCTGTGCACTTCCCATAAAATTGGCTAGGTTTTTGGGATAACCCACAGTTCTGAGAACACGCTCTAGTGTTTTCTAAAAAGTCTCACACAGAGGAGTTTTAATGGTAGATCTTAATTTATCTTTATTGTAAACTCACTCAGTTTCTATCTACCTCAGATTATTTTTAATCTTTTTCAATATTTTTTAAGAGATTTAGTTATTTGAAAGGCATAGTGACACAGAAAGAGAGGGATCATCCATTCTCTGATTTACTTCCTATGCGGCCATGGTAGGTAGCCAATGCCTGAGCCAGGCTGATGCTAGGAGCCAGAAACTCTAGCCTAGTATCCCACATGGAGGGCAGGGGCTCAACTACTTGAGCTGTCACTGCTGCCTTCCTGGGCACATTAGCAGGAAGCCGGATCAGAAGTGGAACAGGCAGCATATTTTTTAAGATTTATTTATTTATTTGAAAGAGTTCTACAAAGAGAGAAGGGGATGCAGAGAGGTCATCCATCTGCTGGTTCACTCCCCAATTGGCCACAATGGTTGGAGCTGCACTGATCTGAAGCCAAGAGCATCTTCTGGGTCGTCTCCCACATGGCTACAGGGCCCCAAGTCCTTGGGCCATCTTCCACTGCTTTCCCAGGCCATAGCAGAGAGCTGGATGGGAAGTGGAGCAGCTGGGACATGAACCAGTGCCCATATGGGATGCTGTCACTTGAGGCAGCGGCTTTACTCGCTATGCCACAGCACCGGCCCCCATCTTAAATCCTTACACCCGTTATATTCCATCTTCTAGGTTTTTGTTCTTTGTTGTTTATCTTGGTTCTTTTTATTATTTTTACTTATTTATTTGACAGGTAGAGTTATATACACAGAGAGAGAGAGACAGAGAGAAAGGTCTTCCTTCCATTGGTTCATTCTCCAAATGGCCCCTATGGCCGGTGCTGCGCCGATCCGAAGCCAGGAGCCAGGTGCTTCCTCCTGGTCTCCCATGCGGGTGCAGGGGCCCAAGCACTTGGGCCATCCTCCACTCCCCTCCCGGGCCACAGCAGAGAGCTGGACTGGAAGAGGAGCAACCGGGACTAGAACCCAGCACCCATATGGGATGCTGGTGCTACAAGGCGGAGGATTAACCAAGTGAGCCACGGCGCTGGCCCCTGATTCTCTTGTTTTAAAGATTCATTTATTTGAAAGGTTGAGTTAACCAAGAAAGATCTTCCACTCCCGAGTGACCACAGTATCTGAGGTTAGGCCAAACTGTTCTAGGAACTTGGAACTCAATCCATGTCTCCCACAGGCCCCAACACTTAGACAGTCTTCTGCTACTTTCCCAGGCCCATTAGCAGGGAACTGGTTAGAAGTAGAACAGCTGGGACTGGAATCGGCACCTGTAGAGGACACTGGCATTGCAGGCAGTGGCCTGACCCACTATACCACAGTGCACGCCATCACCCATTTTCTAGGTTTTTATTTCAAGAGTTCCAGTTGTAAGTGCTTCAGCTGTTTTCCCAGTCCTGTTCAAGTTTCCAGGTTGTTACTAATGCTTTGTAGGCCTCTGTGCTTCTGTTTGAATTTAGGAAGTAATGTTTTTAGTTCTTACAGCAGCTGTGACCCAGGCTTCACTGCAGTCCATAATTCATAAGTTTCTTACTGCTGGACCATCTGCTTTCAACATAACCTCTCTGATCTCTCAAGCTGCACAGCTCTCAACACAATGTATCCGTATTCTTAGAAATATCTACAATTGTCTGGAATTTTATCAGCACTTCTTAAAAACTTCTTTAAAGATTAGCTATCTTTATTTTAGCTGGTTTTGGTAACACTAGCATTATAGTAGTATATGTATTTCCCTTTTGTAATGTTTTTAGATGATGCTTTGGAATTTATCTTAAGGTATTACTGTAAATCTGTAATATAGTGTGATTTAAGTTGCTAATAAAAGTGTTTTACTCCAAAGCTGAAAATATACTGTGATATGCCTTCAATCTTCAGAAAGCATTGTTATATATTTGAAGAGCTGAAGTTTGGGCAGGTCGATGTTTGATTATTCTAAATACACACACACACACACACACACACATACACATTATATTTGAGAGGGAGAGACAAAGAGATCTTCTGTCCAGTGGTTTACTCTCTAACTGGCTGCAACAGCTGGGACTGGGCCAGGCCAAAGCCAGGAGCCTGGAACTCCATCCAGGTCTCAGATGCGGGGCTCAGGAACCTGGTGTTTGGGCCATCTTCTGCCGCCCCCCAGGACTGTTAGCAGGGAGGTATATCAGAAGCATAGGAGCTAGGAGCTGAACCAGGCTTGCCCAGCTGGGATCTGGTGTCTCAAGCAACAATTTGCATAATGCCTGTCCTGATGTCGGGTGACTTTTGGCTACATGATATGGAAACAACCCAGTTCTTGCCTTGAACTAGTGGTCCCTCTTCAAGTAGAGTAGCACAAAGGCTCTTGAAGTCCTTTTACTAGGCTGTGTGGCAGGAGACTGAGCACAGGACAGTGCCCGAGCCTCAGCGAAGCAATGAGGGTGCTGAGGGGCTGCTGTGTGAGGTTAGGCTCAGGCTCAACTCCTTGCTGTGGCCTTGGAGTCCTGTGCTGGGTGTGCTGAGCTCTGACACAGAGCTCGTTTAGTCAGTGAGTCCACGTGGGATGTTGGTTTCTGACTTGGTTGGGTAAGTGTTCTTTGGGGGACCTAGTAGAGTGATGCAGAGAACTTCACCACATACTACAAAAATTCTTGGTTTATTTAAAATCAGTTACTTCGCTCTTTCACAGCCCAGCCATCTAATCAGTCTCCAATGTCTTTAACGTCTGATGCGTCATCCCCAAGATCATATGTGTCTCCAAGAATAAGCACACCTCAGACTAACACAATCCCTATCAAACCTTTGATTAGTACTCCTCCTGTTTCATCACAGCCAAAGGTATGTCACTTCTGAGGGAAATTCGCGAAAGTTCCAAGTTAACAACTGTTAATTTTTGAGTAACCTTATTATTTATCAGCATTTTGATGAGGGAGCAAGCAAAATGTGAGTTTCAGCAAACAGATCTTATTTCTAGAGCTTAGAAGTTATCTTCAGTCTGTTTAAAAATAGTGCCTAAAAGTGAAATGCATGCTAATATTAGTTTTCTAGTCCCTGAGAAAATCACTGCATCAGATCCCTTAAGCAATGGAGGTCAGTTCTTCACTTTCAAAGTTCCTTCTCAAGTTGGTTTTAAGAATACTTGGATATTTGAACTTATGTGGAACTTCCTAAATAATATGTTCTTTATGAAAAGACTTTTTGATTAGAAATGACAGGTTATTAATATTCTGAAGCATCAAGACTATCCAGATTTGTTTTGGGCGAATTCTTAGAAATCAGAAACCCTGCTGCTTTAGGGTATGACTTGATCAAAATGGCTCCCTCTGTTTTTGCCTTGTTGCTGTAATTTGGAGCTTTTATTTTAAACTACTTTTTTTTTCTTCCCTCTCTGGCTCCTGATTAAAAATAACATACGTGTCCCATAGGCAGCCATAAACCTGTATGGGGTGATAAACATCTCTGTTAATCAGAGATGGGCTGTAGCTCATTCTGTGGTTGGGCCACTCTATATTTTCTCAAAAAGTTATTGAAATCTGAGCGTGCATGTTTGAACATAGATAATTGGTTTTATTGCTTTTGTTTTGATTACAGAAGTAGCAGTAAATGAAGAGAGATTAGAGTAGATTGGAAGGAAAGCCATAGTGAAAAGTCAAAAGTAGTTTCTTGATTTTATGGTTTTGACCTTGAACTTGTTTATGATTTAAGTTTCAAAACTTAAGACTGTATTCTAACTATGTGGCATTTGATAACTTCTTTTAAAATTTTGGATTCAAGAGTCTTTAAGATTGTTAGCTAGGTTTGCTGGGGGCAAGATATGGATTGGATTGAGAACCTAACTTTAATTTTTACAATTAAATATGCTTGTATCCAGTAGTAACAATTTTATTGTGAAACAGAATTAAGACAACTGTTAAAATCACTGGAGAGTAGAAATGATAGGAAGTTTCATTGACAGTAACACTTTGACTTTGCTCTAATTTCGATGCTGTCGGTGTGCCTGAAGCCTTCCTCACCAGGTTTTGCTGTTTCAGGTTAGTACTCCAGTAGATAAGCAAGGACCAGTGCCCCAGTCAGCCCCACAGCAGCCTGTGACTGCTGACAAGCAGCAAGCTCATGAACCCATCTCTCCTCGAAGTCTTCAGTGCTCAAGGTAAGTTGATGTGTGTTGAAACTGCCTTGTGGTTTTCTTTAAAATGACAGAGAGTGCATTGTTCAGCTGTGATTATGGAGACTAGAACCTGGTCTTGGGAGAGGTCATGGACAGCCAGGCTTAGCAGTGTACAAAGACAGATCTTCCATACAACAAAGGGAAGGAATGCTGTCTCCCGCAGAGCGGCCTGGGTTATTTTGAAGCCAGTGGCCCTTTTCTTTAGACTTTACAGTAGGTGGGATTATGTCATACTTGCAAAAAAGACATCTGATTTTCCTTTATTTGTTGGAATTAGATCACTTCTGACCTCATAGCAGTTTTCATTGAGTGTATTGAAGCTATGATCGCACACCGCAAACGTGGGCCAGTGTTTACCAACCGGTGTGTGGCAGGCTTTCCTTATAGCTTGTTCTTGACCTAAACAGATTGGTTTTCAGATCTGCTATTTGCCACTATATGTGTTTTCACTTCATGTGTTCATTAGTAATCAACTTGAAATGAAACTTGTTGATTCAAATGGGGCGTCGGGGTCAGCGTCAGCGTCCTAGCTTCGTGTGTGGCGTCAGGGTCAGCGTGTGTAGTGTTGGGGTCACATAAACGTCGTGGGCGGGGCGGCTCAGTTCATCAGCGGGCGGCAGCGAGGAAGGATGCAGTGGTGGTGGTAGCAATTCTTCTAAGAAACCGAGAAGTCGGCAATCAGCGAGGAAGCAGAGGTAGGTGGGCCCGGTGTTGCTGTAGGCCTGGGCAGTGGTGGTGAAGGAGGCAGCGGTAGTGAGGGTGAGCGGTGGCTTGGATAGAGGCAGTGGTGGCGGCTCCGTGTCAGGCGTCCTGGGCGGGGAAGGGCAGCTCTGCCCCGGCCTAACTGAAGCCTGGGGCTTGCTAGGTGGGAAGCCTCAGTCTTCGTTGGTGGCAGCAGCGGCCAAGGACCAGGAGAACCAGGAAGAGGTGGGCGTCCTACTTTGGACAGCGCAGTTCCTGGGCAGGCAGCGGTGGTGGTGAGGAAAGACAAGGTGGCGGCAGGGCCATTCTGGTGCAGAGTCCGGCGGTCAGGAGCGTCAGTGGCTGGCAAGGAAGCAAGTAGGAGTGGCGGTGCTGACGCCATGGGCAGCAGTGAAGCAGGTGGCGGCGGGGGCTCTGTGTTGGGCAGCGGAAGAGAGTCCGGCGGCAGTGGTAGCTTGAGATGGCAGTGGCGTCAACATTAGGTAGGCACTACAGATGAACAGGTTGGGGAGGAAAACTGGTCATAACAGTCATATTATACAACATGAAGGGGAAGGAAGATAGGCAGTCAATTGCAAGGGAGGTTTCTCTAGCTTTGAATGTGCCCCTTACACTAGCTTTAGGCTAACAGCCTTTGGGTGTCATTTGTCACATTCATGGGGGCGCACATATGATGTGGGAGCTAAGTTTCTCCTTGGGATGTCTGTGCCCTGTGTCCCAGTGCCTGGATTTGAATTCGGGATCCATTTCCAGTTCCAGCTTCCCCGCTAATGTGTGTCCTGGGGAGATATCAGATGATGGCAAAAGTGTCTGGGTACTTGTCAGCTACGTGGGAGACTGAGTTCCTGGCTCCTAACTTCAGCCTGACCCAGTCCTAGCTGCTGCAGGCATTTAAGGAGTGAGGGAGTAAATGGGAGAGCTCTGTCTCTTTGCCTCTTAAATAAATAAAGTTAAAACTCTTCAAAAGTGGGTGATCTTTATCTATTCTTAAGATTTATTTCAGAGGCAGATACTCATACCCATGCAGGTACATGCACATGCGCGCACACACACACACACACACACACAGTGCAGGAAACAGACATAATGAGGGTTCTCATCTGCTGGTTGACTTTCTAATTCTCACAACTACTGGGCCTGAGCCTGGCTGAGTTGAAGGTTGGAGAATTCATTCCGTGTTTCCAGCAAGGGTGATGGGTATCCAAATACCTGGGTCCTATCCACTGCCCTCCAGGTCCACATTACAGGAAGCTAGACTCAGGAGCCAGAAACAGGTACCCGATTTCTTGAGCCATCACAACTGCCTTCTCCATCCACACTAATAGGAATCCACTAGAGTCAGGAGTCGGAGGTGGATACTGAACCTGGGTACTTCCAGGATGGAATGCAGGTGACGTCAATTGGCTTGGTAATCAAAATTTCAAATCCTTGCCCCTCTGAATTCTAAAAATCATTACAGTTTAGTAACAGTTTTAAAAGGAAATTAGGAATTTACAACGTGTTTTAATTTCATTTCCTTCATACATTTATTTCTCTGCAAATAATCTTCATCTTTTTCATGTGTACACATACCTTATGTAAAATGCTTTGGTCCTGTGTGAGGTTTGTGATGTTATGTGTAGTTTTTTTTAACATATCCTATGTATAGTTAATACATTTCAATAATTGTTATTTATTGAATGTACCTTATTTTCTTAGTTCTATATTGAGTTTCTGCAGTTTTGGCAAATGGGTAAGCAGTTATATGGGGAACAAATTAATGTGCATTTGTTTTCTTTGTGTTTCTTTTCTTTTCATTAGTGTTTAGCATACTCAGTGTGCTTTGTGGACACAACTGTAAGAACACAATGATATTGCCTTCCTTCCTCCCCCTTTCTCCTTTCCACTGTGTTTCCTTCTCCTTTTTCTTTCTCTCTTTGGTTTAGATTTTGAGCCAATTTTCAAATTACATTGCAGTAAAAAGGCTTAATACTTTACCAGATAAGTTTAACGAAAAAAAAAAGTTATACTAGTTTAGTGAGACTATAGACAACTACTGTAAATAGTAATTGAATAGAAAAGTGATTGTTTCAACCGTATGTGGTAAATCTTTAAGTAATTATAGATCATTAAAATTGTGGGCTGACACCGTGGCTCAATAGGCTAATCCTCCGCCTGTGGCGCCAGCACACCAGGTTCTAGTCCTGGTCGGGGCGCCAGATTCTGTCGTGGTTGCCCCTCTTCCAGGCCAGCCCTCTGCTGTGGCCAGGGAGTGCAGTGGAGGATGGCCCAAGTGCTTGGGCCCTGCACGCCATGGGAGATCAGGAGAAACACCTGGCTCCTGGCTTTGGATCATTGTGGTGCGCCAGCTGCAGCGGCCATTGGAGGGTGAACCAACGGCAAAGGAAGACCTTTCTTTCTGTCTCTCTCTCACTGTCCACTCTGCCTGTCAAAAAATAAAAAATAAATAAAAAAAATTGTGGGTAGGATAACATTCTTAACCATCAGTTTCACACATAGGCATAAAAGAAAGTTTGACAAACTGTATTCGCATCAATACTGATCCACACAAACATTTCTTTCTATTTGATTCCCAGAGATTCCTCCCAGCAGTGCCTAAGTGTTCCTTTTCCCCCACATCCTTTGCAGCATTTGTTACTCTGTTGTTTGGATTTCAGCCATTCTAATAGGGGTGAGGAGATATCTCATTGTGGTTTTGATTTGCATTTCCCTGAAGCCTGAAGATGTTGAGCATTTTGCCATATGTTCGCTTGCCCCTTGTATTTCTTCTTTCAGAGAATTATCTGTTGAAGTCCTTTTCCATTTCTGAACTGGATTGATTTTGTTGTTGTTGACTTTTTTAAGTTGCATATATATTTGGGATGTTACTCCTTGCAGATAGATGGTTTGCCACTATTTTTTCCATTCTGCTGGATTTCTCTCCACTAGAATTGTCACGTCCTTTGTTTCCGAGTTTGATATGGTCCTATTTCCTTAGTTTTGCTTTATTTGCCTGTGCTTCGGAGTTCCCATCCAAGAAGTTGTTCCTACACCAACGTCTGAGTGTTTCCCTTACGTTTTCTTCCAGCAACCTCATAATCTCCATAATGCCAGGTCTTAAATTGGTTCTTTGATGTATCTTCAGTTGATGTTGATTTTTGTATGTGAAGAGAGATACGGATCTGCTTTCGTTCTTCTACGTATATGCATCTAGATTTGCCAGCACCAATGTTATCCTTAACTCCACTGTGTGGTCTGAGCACTTTTTTGTTTTACTTTTTTTTAACTTTTATTTAAAGAATATGTATTTCAAAAGTACAGCTTATGGATTACAATGGCTTCCCCTCCCATAACGTCCCTCCCACCCACAACCCTCCCCTTTCCCACTCCCTCTCCCCTTCCATTCACATCAAGATTCATTTTCAATTCTCTTTATATACAGAAGATCAGTTTAGCATACATAAAGTAAAGATTTCAACAGTTTGCTCCCACACAGAAACATAAAGTGAAAAATACTGTTTGAGTACTAGTTATAGCATTAAATCTCAATGTACAGCACATAAGGACAGAGATCCTACATGAGGAGTATGTGCACAGTGACTCCTGTTGTTGACTTAACAAATTGACACTCTTGTTTATGGCATCTAACATCTTGTTTCTCAGTAGACACTCTATGGTATTTTAATTGATTTTTAGTCTTTTTCTACTGATACTGGTGTTTTGCACGGACACTATGATACGTTCTTGGTGCATTAATAGGTTGGTTTGAAAGTCCATGATACAGCAGCTGTTCTTGCACAAATTTGCATTTTTAAAACAAGCGTTCAGAGTAGAACTGGATTGTTATTTTTAATTTGTTATCTTCTGTGGAATAGAAACTCCACCAAAACAAGTAATGGTAATGAAATTTGTTTTTGCATTTTTTATCCACCTTGTGTTCTTGTTGTCTAGATTTGTCATGACCCCTTGTAGCATTTTAATAAATAGATAAATTAAAGAATAGTGAGATTGTCACACATAGGGAAAATACAGGTTTTCTTTAACAGTGCTTCTCAGTATTCAATGTGTATATTGAACAAACGGGGGTCTTGTTAAAATGCATATTCTGCTTGGCACTTTGGGGCTGGGGCCCAAAGATCTGCCTTTGAACAGGATCCCAACTGATGGCCATGCTGCTGGCTTTACTTGAATAATTTTGTCCTAGAGCAGCACTTTACAGTGAAAATATGAATTAGTGCAAAATGCTTGTTCACTTCTAGTACCCTCATTTGAAAATGATGTGAAATCAACTTCAGTAGTTT